AAGGAATGCAAATTAGACAAAGCAAGGAGCACCCGCCCCCCATCCCTCCTCTGGGGTGAAGTGCCCACATGGGCGCTACACTCACCATGACAGTTGTCACCGCAAGCCATCTGGTCCCAAAGAGTTTAATAATGTTTTGTTTTTAAATAATCAACCCCCACCTGCTCAACTTTGGCAAGCAGATGTCACCGGGACGGGAAAAGCTCTGGACGGAAAGATGGGAGCTGTGGTTTCTGTTTCGCCCCATGGTTGGCCAGTGCAGCTCATTGATGTCCTTCCGACTGGGGAGGATTTGGGGCTGAGGATAGCTAATCCAGCTCGGGTTTGCATTTTCTCTTAAGCTTAAAGCTGCTTGCCAGTTGCTTCAGCAGTGCCCAGACCTTGGTAAAGGAACTCCCTCTGAGCCACCATGGGTAGTCCCAGGAAGCCTCAATGGCAACCCTTCCCATCCACCAGAAGGCAGCCAGCAGAGAACCCACTGTGTCTGCAAGGCCTGATTAAGATCAGATAGGATTTAGGCATGGCATGTGCGCCCCCAAATCTGGCCAGTTCAGATATGTGCATCGTTTCACAGCTCAAATCGTGGGTGGTAGCTTTAGAAATATTTGCATTTTAAAATCTCATGCTGACATTTTTAAAGTAAACCCTGCTGGAGAAATGTAACAGTTTGCAAACGTAGACTATAAAGGATTTCAGAAGTTGTTAAAAGAAACTTTCTCTTATAAAATATATGCTTTCAGGGATGTGATTATTTCAACCACAGTGTGGTGAAGTGTGATTGAGCTACACTCAATCAAAAATCAGGTCCAGAATACTATAGCTGAGTGGGGAAAGTCCATGCTATAAAACACATATCTAATAGGGAATCTAAAGGTTAACAGGAGATCAGAAATTCCTGGAAAAAAGAAAATAGGGCTGTGAAATTCATTGTGAACTGTAGCTCCACAGGAGAGAGTGAGTGTTCCCAAATTAAACAGAGACTCACAGGACCAGAATGAATTGCCTCAGTTATCCAATCTCAATGCACTTGGCCCCTGGACACAGTTCGCTCACAGCAACCTCGGATTCCACAAAGAGACACAAGATTGTATCTGTTTAGGAGTAATTCTCTTCTGCAAGTGCTCGGAAAGTCACCTATTCCTGAAGGATGGAATCATCCTCCAGAAAAGGGTGACACAACCACAATAATGTTTTCATTAAAACTCCTTCCATGCTCAGAAATACATTTCCTTTTCTAGAATTCCAGTCTGCCTCTTTCCCGCCAGTCCACTGAACCCTGTGCTTTTTCGGACCTTCCCGACCTTTTCCCATGAAGGAAATAACAACTCATGATAATTCTCACCTTGTTTTATATGTTATTTGCTTATATGAGTGTGTGTTACTTAATTTTGCCTCCTTTCTTTGGGTGTTCTTCTCATTCTCCCTCACTTAGAAGCTCTGTGAAGCCACATGCACTCAGAATCTGCTTTTTTGTTCTCCATCGTATGATCCTACAAATACATGGGCATTGAAAACGCTCTCGTTGAATATTCTACGTATGACACATTAAAAACGAAATGTTTGAGATCTTGGCTCTAAGTTATTATTGTAAAGATTCCTTCCAGATAACAAACTTTGAGAAAAATATGAAGACTGTCCATTCTGTTCTACACTCATGACCTGAACTTCCTGTCCATTGGATCTGGATAGACCAATCGAAGAGTTGATAGACTCCTGGTGGGTTAGATCAGCCCTTTTTCTACAGACCTTCTTAAAATGATAACCATGCCCACTGGAACATAGCTTCTTCATTTCTTTTCTAGACTAATCCTGGGGCCCCAACGTGGGAAATTTATCCTAGGACTTGCATTTATCCTCATTCATGCTGCTCTGTGAGGACATAGAGTCTTGAAGATCGTCCTGGGGTTTAGAAACCCCAATTACTCACAGTATCTCTTTTCCACTGGACGTGTTTTTCTCCCAGAACATACTCACCCAAGCACACCATCCCGATATTTCCTCACTTAGACTCGAGTGGGTTTGTTTGTTTTTTCCTTTAAGTGGTGGGAAACATAGGCAGTGGAGGGTATCAGGATATGTCACCCAAAAAACACGACTTTGTAAGCCACGCAGTGTCCCTTTGGCTGCAGTCACGGGCATGCTGGGATTCAAGGAAGGAAGCACAGACCTCACAGTGGGCAGGACTCTAAGATGATCCCAATTATTCAATCAAACAGGATCCTAGGTACTGCTGTGAAGGGATTTTGGAGAAGTAATTAAAGTCTCTAATGTGTTGGCCTTAAGGCAGGGAGATTAGCCAAGGATAATCCAGAGTTTTCTCTGGCTGGTTATAGGAGAGCTACCCAGAGATCTGAAGCACAAGAAGATTTTGATGCGCCTTCACTGTCTTGAAGAGGGAAGAGGGTATGTGGCAAGGAAGGTAAGTGGCCTCTAGTTGCTGAGAGCCACCAAGGAAAGGGTGAAGTCAGTCCTCCAGCTGCAAAGAACTGAATTTTTCCAAGAACAAAAAAGAGTTTGGAGACATGTTCCCTGTCCCCACACCAGAGTCTCCAGAGGAGAACTCAGCTGGGCTGACACCTCGATTTCAGCCTTGCCCTACCCTTCAAAGAGAACACAGTCACACTTGTAGAGCTGTGAACCAATAAAGGGGTGCTGTTTTAAGCTTCCAAAAAAAAAAAAATAGCACTTTGGTATAATGATTATTTTGAACTGAAAGCAACTGAGGAAAACCAGACACAGGAAGAGCTCTCTGGCCTCCTCCTATCTATCTAAAAGCAGAACGTGAATTCCCCTTTTGTAGGTGTCCCCTGCCCTCTCCCATACCAGGAAAAGAGCAGCCCTTATCACCGGAAACGGAGACAGCACCTAAGTGAGTCTCCAAAAACAAGCTTTACTAAATAACCCTTATCTAGCGTTAGTTTTTCCAGAATGTGTACCCTCCCGTAATTTCTCACCCCTAGAAGCTCAAACCCCCTTTCCTTCATTTAGACACTTCTCCACAATCTATTGCCATTCATTTGAATGGTATATAATTTCCCCAACCCCAGTCTAACTGCTACTTTGGGTTTTCATTTGTGGGGAGGGAACCCACCCCCATGCATGTAAAATTAAAAATAAAATGTTTGTGCTTTTTCTCTTCTTAATCTGTCCTTTGTCAGTTTAATTTACAGGCCCCAGGAACAGAACAGAAGAAGGCAGAAGAAACATTTTCCTCCCTAACAGAAATAAGATGAAAAACATGTTCACCTAATTTTTATTTCTTGGGCGCGGATCAAATTGAAAATTTTACATTTGCCATAATAGAACCAATGTAGGAAAAAAGAAAAAAAAAGTGAGGGACGGCTTCAGAGGCTTTAAGAACTAAAGGTAGAAGTTGTAGATGACATGGTCCAAGCACTGGCCCCAGAGACTTTCCTGGCACATCATGTCACCACCCCCTCATTAACTGGCCAGCTCCTCCTACTAGAAGGCGTCATTTTATAAGATATGAATTTATTGCTTTAGTGGGTTTAATCCAAAACACTTGAGTCAGTACATTTCTGATTTTAAACTCCTATAAAAATGTCAGTTCATGTTCCCCACTGACTTGTTTCTTTTTAGATTGCTTTATGGGCACCTACTGTCTCTCTCAAGTTTTCAGCTGTGAAGTATTTTCTACTCCTGCAGATCCCAGGCATGCAATTTGGAGAGCATGACAAAAATTCTAGAAGATATTCTAGCAGTTATAAGGTTCTGAGTGACCCAGTCGTGGCCTTCCAGTCACACAGTGTGGTCTAGTTTTCTGGGGAGTGATGTTCAAGGGGGTCACATATAATGAGCTCTGAATACACTGGAACAGTGGACTGGCCCAGGTCGCATCTGTCTGGGTAGTAGGCTGAGCCCTGAGCCCTCACCACTCGGGCTATAACCCTCAGCCAAGAAACAAGAACCTGACCTCAGACTTTGTACGTCTGACGAGCCAGGACACCTGGCTTTTGTGTTCTGTTTTTTGGTTTTCGGGGGGTTTTTTGTTTGTTTTAGTTTTTAAGTTCTTCTTTAAATTCCAGTTAGTTAACATACAGTATAATATTAGATTCAGGTATACATTGTATTCTTGATTACGGGATGAATGTGCCTACTCAGAGATCAGTAGAGTAGCATAATTAATACCACTTGGTTTGGGCGTCCTCATAAATAGGCATGCCATTTCCCCAGGACTATTCAAATTATCGTATAGTGATTTTTATATTTTTTAAGCTCAGAAGAGCAAACTTGTATTCAGTCTCCACTCTGTCTAAGGCACTGATCTGCCCTAGGGATAAAAGAAATGTTGGCATGACTAATATGAAAAACCAATCCCTAACTTCAAGGACCTGGAACTCTGGAGAACGGAAGGGTGTTGGAACTTATTTTCAGAGCGCTTTATGTGAAGCATAGAGACGATGCTTATACACGCATCAAAGTATGTCAATCACTAAAAAAGAAAAAGAAGACTGGGACACCTAATACCCTTCAGAGCTTAAAAATTAAATGTTGCTTACTGTATGGTTGACCTCTAAGGCAATCAAAATAGGATGTGAAAAGCTATCTATTTGTGCCAAGATTTAAATCACTTTTCCGAAATGGATTTGCCAAAACAAAGAGAGGTGTTTTCTGTAGCAACATGCCGAACAGTCCCAAGTAATCATTTTTTTTAGTTTTTTTTTTTTAAGGTTTCGGTATCTATCTGCCCCTTTGCTTATGATAGCAAAGCATAACGAACAGCCAAAAGGCAGAAATAGCAACACTCACCTTATCATGCCAAGGGATGTCACATTCTTTCTATAAACAATACGGTGCAAAGGTTCAGGAAGAGTGAGAGATCTGACCTCCAGTGATTTTTCCACTACTCATCATTTTGGATAGTTACAAGAAACCAAGAGAAGGGATTTTCTTGTCTAATTATTTCTAACCTTAAGTTCAGGGAGTTAGTCTTTAGAAAGGTTAGAACGCACTAAACACATCCTGAGGAAAGGGTGCAGTACATTTTCTGCAAATACTGTCCGGGAGATGTGAACTCTCTCCCTTCATTTAGGATATCAGAGGAGGGAGCAGGGGAGGGGAGCAGGTTCAGCGAGCTCAGCTCAGGGTAAATGCTTCAGTAAGCGCTTTATGTTGCTTCCCGGGGAACAGGGCAATATCCATTCTGAGGATGGAGCTCAGTCTGACTGCGGACCACTAACAGCCCAAGTCCGAGCCGGTGGCCTCAGGATCCCAGAGAGTTACAAATCACCCCTCAGAACTGCTTTCTGGTGAGTTATTACTGCAAACTGAGAGAGTGCATTTCCCCGAAGATACCTCAAATTCAGGCAAAAAGGACTCAAGAAGCACGTATTGCGGGTGCACTTCAAACATCAGAGAAATAGTTCCAAAGCCCCCCAAAGGGATAAATAATGCTGATCTTCAAGGTTTTACCTATCTTGATGCTTCTCACGTGCTTTCCTTTCTCAAGGAGGTTACATGAAAGTCTGATTTCTCCTATTTAGGAATTTGTGCCCTCCTGAGGCTTATTTACCCACGGCCGACCTCGTGATCTGACACGTGGACACCCTGATGATATGCTCAATGACCACATTTGATGCGGGCACTGAAGTCCCACTCGGGCTATTGGCATGGGATGCAGCGACGCCCCCCAACGAAGGCGACACAGAACCGGGGGCTGTTCCCCTACCTCATTCCTCACAGCCCCTCACGGGGGGCCCCACCTGGGCTTGGAGCCCTCCGGAAAAGGGGTTTCCACCCTCCTCCACCATTCACTATTTCTGAGCTCAAAACATCAAAATAAAGCAATTCTAATTTTACATATGAACTCAAACTGTAATTAAGAACCTTTTCTCCCCCTTTATCTTGTCCTCGGTGGATATAGAGGCCAGCTGCTTACTATCTGTGGGAAGGAAGTCCAAAATAGTTACTAGAGTTTGCAATTATCTTTCATTGTCCTCAGAATACCCCTATCTCTTTGATGCTTGTATATTTCTGTACCTCCTGTTCCACTTGGAGGAACTATTTGCTGTAAGATTTTTGGCAAGTCAGTTAATCTCTTTGTGCCTCAACTGTCCATCGGGAATTGGGGAGCGACACAGGGTGACCTCAAGATCCCTGGCAATTCTGCCTCGCTGTGATTCAATGACCCCCGGGGTCCGTAAGATTCCGAGGAGGAGTTTTCAGCGCGTCGTTGGAAACTGAGTCACACTGGCATGGGAATTGTAAGACAAGGCTGGAGTAGAATGACTCCTCCTGAGGTAAGATTGGATGAGGAATGCCATGAGGTGTAGCGTGGGAAAGTGTAACTGGAGTGAGGCAGCGACATATCCTCCACTAACAGGCAAGATCAGGCAAATTCCTGATGCTTGATGGGTGGCCGGCCGCAATCGGAAACTGGGCTCTTCCCAGAAGGCTGCTTATCATTTCTTTGGCAGAAGCCTCAGAGAAGTGACTCTGATGCTTTGCACAGGCCCTGGGGTGAGTCAGCAGTGATTGGGGTGCTGACTAACGTGGCAGCAGATACGGACGATGTGAATGCTCGGATCTGGTGGGCTAATGCCCACGAGGACACCTTCCAGAAGGCTTGCTTTAGACACCCGCGAACAAAACGTTTTCCTAAAGCTATGTTTGAAACCCTCATCTGAAAAGCCCCAGTCTTGTCCCTGGGATATCCTAGGGATGTCCCCCTTCAATGTAGGTCACAGGCAGCCTCAGTAACCTCCAAAAAAAAGGACATGGGAAATTCCCAGCAGAGAAGCAAATCCAAAGCCAAGAAGGACCATAGGCTGTGGAGTTTTCTTTTTAAAGTCCCAGCTCAGGCTTAGGGGAAATCCAGCATGGATGGCCGGAGGCTGATGAGTTATCCTGCACTGCCTCTCACCCTCCAAGTGCAGGCAGAAGGGAAAGAACAGGTGCAACGGGAAGGAGGTTCTTCTGGGCGGTGACTCTCTGGAGCCCCCTGCTGAGCAGACCGGCCAGGCTAGGGACTGGGCACAGGAGGCCAGAAGGTGTCTTCCTCCCCTCACCTGATCCAGGGCAGGCTTCCCAGATGCTCTGCAATCAGGCTGTGTCTCCCAGATACCCGGGGATCTCAGCTCTCTTATGGCAACCAGAGGTCAGAGGGCCGGAGGGTTAAGATACCCTGGAGCATAGAGTACATTCTTCCCAATTACCACATGCATAAAAAAGCATCACTGGGAGAGCTTTGAAATATATACGCTATTATTTATAAGACTGTTCATAGCACGTTAAAAAACATAAACTCAAAGGGTACCTAATGATTCACATGAAACTCTCTCCATTATGCTAAACAACCCCTCGCCTGTCCTTGTTCAACTGAGAAGCAACCATTTTTAAACAGTTCTGGTTTTAGGTCTGTCTATACCACAGAACTAATCGGTATGTGTGTGCCTGTGTTTTTGGCCTTATCAACTTCGAATAATACATAATCTTCCCACGAGGAAAGGTGTGTGCACTTAATACGCTTTGTACTCTGAGTTCACCTGCATTGCACCTTCCAACTTTTATTAATCCCATTAACATTTTGAGATCTTGAATGGTTGCGTGCGTCCCTTTAAATAGGCTGCCTCAGTGTTTGCTTCTTGATTCATCAACTTGTGGCATCTTCAACCCACGCTCTGTTCTGTAAGAGGAAGAAAGTAGATCCCCGCGGCCTAGCCTTGGCCACACCCTTTCCTCTGTGCGACTCGTCAGCTGATTAATATGATCCAGGCTGGAACCTTTGTACTCTGTTCTGTCATTTTAAGTTAGTTTTCTGTACTTTGTCTACAGCTTGACTTTAAAAATTGAAAACCAGCGAGAGACATTCATAACATTAAGATCATATAAACACTCATTGCAGAACCCAGCAATATGTAAGGCCCATGAAGATGTAAATGCAATTTTATATTTACAAAAATGTCCATCCAAAAAATAAGGGAAAAATGGATTCCCTTTCTTTACACCCTTTCTATTTTTCCAGGTCATGTCACACTTCGGTTCACTCCGTCTTGTCATCACTTCTGAAAAGTTGTTATTTCCTTTATTCTAATGGAGAGAAGAGACATACGTGGACATTTTTACATATCTAAGATCTTCCATCTTGTTACACATGTTTTGTAATCAGTGCTCGTCAGTTACCACCTCCGGTCTACTCTGTTCTAATTTGGACCAATTACTTTCTAGGCCTGTTTTACTGCTGATAATTTGACATTTCTTTTCATTTTGTTCCTCAGCAGTTCTTCTGTTTGTTGGATTTGTTTTTCTTTCTCCTAAGTTACATCCCAGGTCACACCCAGAAGAGTAAACAGGAGAAACACTCTGAGTCATTAGCTTATTTTGCTTGGATTCTTGAGTAACGGGTTAGCTGGCTATAACATATAGGCTCAAAATAATGTTTCCTCAGAACTTTGAAATCTTGCTCTACTGTCTTCCAAAATCAGTATTTTATTTTTTTGAGAGAGAGAGAGAGAGAGAGAGCACAAGTGGGAGAGGGGCAGACGGGGGGCGGGGTGGGAATAGAGGATCTGAACCAGGCTCTGTGCTGACAGCAGTGAGTCTGATGTGGGGCTCAAACTCATCAACTACGAGATTATGACCTGAGCTGAAGTCGATGCTGACAGCAGAGAGCCCCTTGCAGTGCCTGAACTCACCAACTATGAGATCAGGACCTGAGCCGAAGTCTGACATTCAACTCACTGAGCCACCCAGGTATGCCCAAAGTCAGTATTATTAATGAAAAGCACATGATGACAATCCTATGCTTGTATTTTTGTTTTTGGGTTTTTTTTGTGTGTGCCCGCTTGTTTGTTGTGTTGTTGTTTGTTTTTTTGGTGGGGGGGGGGGGGTTTGTAGGTATCCTGGCAGGTCTCTCTGCAAGCCTTATGCTAAGAATTTTTAAATTTCAACAGAATAGTCCTTGGCACATGGTGAGTGTTTTTCATCGGAAAGTTATTTTTTAATTGTTTATTTGCTTCTCCGCCTTTGTTCTCTCATCTTGGACTAATTACATTGACAGCTTTCTAGATCTCTGCTCCATCTTCTATTTTTTCCTTGCTGTCATGCCCTGTATTCTGAGCAATCTTCTCAACTTTATCTTCCAGATCGGTACGTAGTTTTCAGCCAAACCAATGATTCAACTCTATTGATTCGTTTTACTTCATTTTATCGCCAACGTTTAATTCTTCGAGGCCTCTTCACGTCCGTCGCTCGCTCCTTGTCCATAGTAGCCCACTGCTGTGGACAAATGTGCTGTGCCCTCAGATCTCTCTGAGACGAATTCGGTGTTTCCCATCTTCTTTCTTGTATCTGTTTCTCCCACGGTTAATTGTTCTTTCGCACACCTTAGTATTTCTCTTTAACCAGATATCTGACGATCCTTGATTGACTGGTGATAACTTTAATAAAAAGCATGCTGGTTGATTATTATAGGTAGTCGGCAAAGTTATTTTTTACGGTTTGGCGGAACATTTACCCCTAACACCTGTCACTGAATGGTGTTAACTAATTGGTGTTAATTAACTAACTCTACATTTCTGTGTAAGCGGGTCAGAGACAGGCTTCTTTTCAGGCTGTGAGGTCAGTTCAGTGTGTGCCCTCCTATCAAAGGGAGGAGAACGGTACCCGGGTGGTGAAATTCTTTGGTGGGTTTCTCTCTAGGTGTTGCCTTTCCTGTACCTCCTCTGGGCTGTGTGTGAAGGTCCTGAGTTGTCTCAGGCTCCGTGCCAACAAGCACGCTGGAGGCCTTCCCCAGGAAGGTCTACACTGGCGTTTGAGCACCTCCTTTGTGTCTGGGAGGGGCCAGATCCAGGAGGCAGCTGCTCCTGAGACCTGGGAAGGAGACCTGGGAGGAGGCTCAGAGTGGGAGCTTTTCTGAAGTGCCCTCTGATTCTTTGACACTCAAAGTGCAATCGGGCCCCACCCCGGACCATCTGAATCTGAACCTGCCTGTGAACCAGAGACTTCAGTGACTCAAAGGCACAGCTAGGCACACTCAGAAGTGCGGCTCCTCAAAGTCCTTGCTCCTGCCCCCTCATGTCCTGCTGTCATCCAGGCCACCTCCACGAGCAGGAGCCTCTGGGGCCGTGCCAGAAGGAGTGGCCCTACGTCCCCTCAGCTTCCTCCGTGCGTGCTCCACTCTGTCCTTCACCACGATCCACTTTCCCTTTTCGGTATGTATTTCCTGTGTGTGCAATAGTGTAGCAAATACCCAAGCACCCGTCGCCCAGCTCAGAAATAAAACTCAACAGATATAATTGAAACCCCTGTGCCTCCCCTTCCGGTGTTTTCATTATCAGTTCTGAACGCAGCACACAGGGGAGCCGGCAGTCACACAGCTGCAGAGTCATCCCTCTGGTGGGATTCTGTCGTGGTGCCAGCACAGACCCAAAGGGTGCCCTGAACCGATGTGGGGCCTGAGACAGTATAGGATGGTCTGGGAGGGGAAGGTCTTGGAGCTAAAGTGACCCGTGGTAGGCTAGAACGAATGAAAAAAGGCCCATCGGGTGCTAAGACATCATAGCCACTGGCGTTCACAACGGAGAACTGGGCCCGTGTTGGAGTGACAGAGAATAGCATCTGGTCAAATATGCATTAATGAGACTGCCTCATGAGCCCAGAAGCAGCTTCTAGAGATCCAAAGAGACCCAGAAGCTGGGAAATGACATCCAGAATGTCTGTCAGCAAGAGGCACTCCCCTGAACAATACAGGACCCAGAGCCCTGACAAGATTTGGAATCAAGATGTGGCTTAGGTCTCAGAAATAAGGATGAGCTTGGGCTAGACCAGGTATAAGAACAAAACCTGTGGGTTCTTCGAGACTGGAGCTGCTGAAATTCTTCCTGTTGATTCATGGGATTGGTCCTAGACTTAACTAATGAAGACGCCGCGGCCTGAGCTGGAGAACAGGGCAGGTGAGAAAAGGGGAGGCGAGGGGAGGTGGAAGCTGGGAACCAGATATGATCCCACACCATCGCTTGACCTCAAAGGCGTTTATGTTTTCCAGCATTTGTGAACACGCCGACATATCCAAAAAACTACACAAAACGGTAAAGACTATTCTGTCCCCCGGCCCTGACCCAACCCCCACCCCCATACACGACGAAACAAACACCCCAGAGTATCAGGAAGACCTTCACTGCAGTCCTGGAAACTGTTTCGAGCACCTTCTGTGTGCCAGGCACTGTGTTGGGATCGAGACTTCAGTGGAGAGTAGCACCTGCAGTGGCACCTGCCTGGGCTTTCAGCAATTCTCTGGGCGGTCAGATATGCAAACAAGTGGTTTCAGTCAGTGCAGGAAGGGCTGTGCTGGAGGAGTTCCTGGGTCACATGGCCTAGTGGGGCCAGGGAGGGGCGGGGGAGGGAGACATGGAAAGGAGACACAACGCGATGTTTTCCATGAGCCATAAGTATGTGGCTGTTTCCAAAGCAAAACCCGAGACGAGTGTGAGATGGTCAAAGATCATGGCTTTGGAGACTGACAGCCCTGGGTTCGAATCCTTCCTCTGCCCCTTACCATGTGTATGACCTTGAGCATGCTACTTTAATCTCTGTAAAGCTCGGTTTTCCCCTCTGATCATTAGGGGATCCAGAAAAAAAGGCACTAGAAATACTTTTATTACTTTGTATAAAGTCCATACCCCTAAGAGGATGAGGATAAGGAAGAATAAAGGACAATTCAAGAAAAAGGTATATGTCATACTGTCTACTAAAATTGCTTAACATTTATTCTTTTAGGATTAGTAGGTTGTAAATCTAATGAGATGCATACATGAAGAACTGTAATTGATTAGACACTACAGTAGAAATGGATCAAACTATTTCCTCTTCTTGTTCCAAATTCCCTCCAAAAGCAGTCATTATGTTATTTTTCTTTGTCCTTATATAGATGTATTTAGTGGGACCTACCATATAGGCCTGCTCTGACAAATTCCATATTATGCTTATCATCAACGTTGGCTTCATCGATATTGATGTTGGTGCCTGGGTG